TGACACGGATCTCTGTATATACTGCGGAGGCGGCATCACAGATGTGTTACACGACACCCCCAGAGGTGTCATGGAAATCTAAATTAAAATACCTATACGGCATCTGTTTCTCCTCACACTCTGATGTGTATGGATGGCAAGCTCTCAACTCCACATCCTGCAAAACTAATCTGTGACGGCGTGAAAACAGCTAGATGCAGACCGTGTGGACCATTATCAATATACAGTGATGTACATTCACAGTTTGCTTTATTAGTTCATCAGCCTTGTATCTGCACCCGTTGTCCTTAAAATTAGGTCCATTTACCATATAGGTGCACTATAATCAAAAATCAGATTATTCTACAGGGAGATTCGCTCGAAAGAGGCCCTGAATACTCTGTTGTAACTCCCGTTAAGATGAAGCAATTTGAACCAAAAAAATACGCTGCATACCTTGACGTATGTGTAATTGACATTACATCCGATGCTGGAAATGATCTCTGTTCTCTGCCAGACACATGAAGGGGTACAGGGGTATGCACCTGGAAGTTGCAAACAGAGATTTAACGTCGCGACAGCTGTCCGGCCCCTACCTCATCGCTCCAACGCGGGGAAATCCTGGCTTGTTCGAAGCTCCATATACTGAGTAGCACATTGCATGTTGTTTTGTTCAGATTGCTTCATCCTAGCGAGAGTTATTACAGAATATTCGGGGCCTCTTTCGAGTGAATCTCCCTGTAGAATTATAACATTGTATTACAGCTGTTTAGTACTGGTTGCTGTTTTTTTAACACAGTCCAATTACTGTCCACTCCAGTAGACACACCTACCTTGTAAATGTAAAGTTAGAAAGTATTTCAGAGAATTTATAGTAAGCAGAACTGCCCTTAGTAATGTCTTCCAGGTCGAATAGAGGACGCTAGGGCAAATCCACAATGAATGGGTTCCAATGGACCTTTTTTTAGGTTGCAAATGCTCAACCGCTTCGTACAGAAATAGGTACGTAGTTTCGTATGTTATGTTTTTGATGTTAGTGACCTCAAACCGCTTTACTCAGTCAGTGAGCTGATCAGCTCACCAACCAAGCAGAACTCAGCAGCAGTAAATAGGGATCAGAATGGCTCAAAACACGAAATCAGCAATCAGCCAGTTAATTCTTTTCATTTTAGCAGATCTGTGTTGCAGTTTGATGGGGTAAATAACATGAGGCTCTGTGTACGAGTGTATGTGAATGCTGCCGCTACACCTGAACCTAATTTGACTGATTGTTTTAAGTGGCCAGTTGCCTCTTACTTTCAGTATAGCACAGTACTTGATTGATGTTAATAAAATGGACAATTGATTTAAAACTGAACGTTTTTAAATGTTAGTTTGGCCCATTAAAGAAAAAATAAGTGTTGTTTATATTGGAGGCGTAGCTATTATAAAGTGCTGGTGTGTTTCATCTGTTAATTTATTCTACGTTAGTTTCAGGTTAAAAAAGCATAATTAAAAATGCCCCTCAGTTTTGGCTGTGAAGAAGTCAGAATCACCCTTAAAAATTCTTAATCCGAGGATTACCTGGCAGTAATGCTAACCAAACAGCACTTGGTAGCTATAATGCTAACCAGTCAGCCCTCAGTAGCTGTAATGTTAACCAAACATCACTCAGTAGCTGTAATGCTAACCAAACATCACTCAGTGGCAGTAATACTAACCAAACAGCACTCAGTGGCAGTAATACTAACCAAACATCACTCAGTGGCAGTAACGCTAACCAAACATCACTCAGTAGCTGTAATGTTAACCAATCAGCACTCAGTAGATGTAATACTAACCAAATATCACTCAGTGGCAGTAATACTAACCAAACAGCACTCAGTGGCAGTAATACTAACCAAACATCACTCAGTGGCAGTAACGCTAACCAAACATCACTCAGTGGCAGTAATACTAACCAAATATCACTCAGTGGCAGTAATACTAACCAAACAGCACTCAGTGGCAGTAATACTAACCAAACATCACTCAGTGGCAGTAACGCTAACCAAACATCACTCAGTGGCAGTAACGCTAACCAAACATCACTCAGTGGCAGTAATACTAACCAAACATCACTCAGTGGCAGTAACGCTAACCAAACAGCACTCAGTGGCAGTAATACTAACCAAACATCACTCAGTGGCAGTAACGCTAACCAAACATCACTCAGTGGCAGTAACGCTAACCAAACATCACTCAGTGGCAGGAATACTAATAAAACATCACTCAGTGGCAGGAATACTAACCAAACAGCACTCAGTGGCAGTCATACATGCCCCCAACTTATTTTTAGATTTTAGTTAAATTATCTCACTATATTGGCAGATAATGTTGTTTGTTGTAAGAAATGCTTGAGAAGAGGGCAGAACAACTTCAGCAAACCAAAAGACTACACACCCTAATTGTGCACCTATCTGGTAAGTCGAGGTAATAAAATGGACAATGAATGTAGATACAAGATATATGTACTAATAAAGTGGCCAGTGAGTGCATAATTTACTCTAATTAGAAGTGATGTTGTTGGACTAGTATGTGAATTTTATAAACATAGTTCTTGGGGGACCTAATTGTTTTGGCTCTTTCTGGGGGAAATGAATGATACAGCTCTCAGTCGTTTCCAGGGTGAGTATAACTGCAGTTTGAGGCTCACCTGCCAAGAAAAAAGGAAACTACATTAATCAAAGTGCTCCAGGCTGAATTGAGACCAAAAGTGACCCCATAAAATGTCCATCACCAAATTCACTCAAGGCCACTAAGGCAGTATTATACGTATCACTCTAAGGTACAATTAAACAGTGATTTTATACAGACAATCTTAAATCACCATTATTGCAGTGTTAGACCGCCATAATATACATAAGGCTCAACATTACAAAGTCATTTTCAGGTTACAGTGCTTTCAGCCAGTTACAGTGCACAAGATAAACTCTTTTCACAGTTGCTTTTTTTTTTGTTTGTTTTTACTAACATTGAACATATTTAGAAGGAATAGTTCATGATTTACAAAACTGACAGTGAACTGGATTTTCATTTTCATAGGTAAGCGAACAAGTCAACATTTATAAAAATGTTTTTATTGTTTAAGTGCTGTTTGTTTTTTATGTCAGTTGTACAGGATTGTTTGAGTTTAAGAAACCTGCAGTTGTCTGTTTAATCTTTTTACAGCCATGATTGTGCAGAGGTGTGAATGGGTTTTCACTCCTTTTCTCTCACTCTTTTCACCCCTCATTGCTCACTAGCAGCTCAACACAGTCACATTTCAAACACAGAGAGCCAACATTGTCCAAGTTACGGGGAAAAGTACAACCCCATTTCCAAGTAAGTTGGGACACTGTGCAAAATATAAATTAAAACAAAATGCAACGATGTGCAAATCATTTAAATCCTATATGTAATTGAAAATAGTACAAAGACAACAAATCAAATGTTGAAACTGATAAAGTTTATTGTTTTTTGAAAAATATATGCCCATTTTGAATTTGATGCCAACAACACATTCCAAAAAAGTTGGGACGGGGGCCTGTTTACCACTGAGTTTCATCACCTCTTGTTTTAACAACACTCTGTAAGCGTTTGGGAACTGAAGAGACACTGCTGTAGTTTTGAAAGTGAAACGTTTTCCATTGTAGTTTGACACAGGATTTCAGCTGCTCAACAGTCCGGGGTCTCTTTTGTTGTATTTCTCGTTTCATAAAGTGCCAAATGTTTTCAGTGGGTGACAGATCTGATTTGGCAAGTCAGTTTAGCACCCTAACTTTTTTTCTATAGAGCCATGCTGTTGTATCATGTGCAGAATGTGGTTTTCTATTGTCTTGCTGAAATAATCAAGGCCTTTCCTGAAAAAGACGTTGTCTTGTTGCCAAAACCTGTATATATCGTTCAGCATTAATAGTGCCTTCACAGATGTGCCAGTCACCCATGCCATGTGCACTAATGCCCCCCCCCATACCATCACAGATGCTGGCTTTTGAACTGTATGCTGATAACAAGCCTGATGGTCTTTAGCTTGGAGGATGCAGTGTCCATGATTTCCAAAAAGAATTTCAAATGTTGATTCGGCAGACTACAGAACACTTTTCCACTTCCCTTCCCATTTTTCAATGAGCTCGGGCCCAGAGAAGGTGGCAGCGTTTCTGGATCCTGTTTATGTACAGTTTCTTCTTTGCATTTTAGAGTTTTAACTGCATTTGTCGATGCAGAGCTGGACTGTTTTCACAGACAGTGGTTTTCAGAAGTGTTTCTGAGCCCATGCAGTGATTTCTTCTACAGAATCATGTCTGTTTTAATGCAGTGCCGCCTGAGGGCCCAAAGATCTTGGCTAGCCAATACTGGTTTTTGGCCTTGTCCCTTGCTTGGAGAGAATTCTCTGGATTGTCTTTTAATGTTATTATGTACCATAGATGATGAAATCCCCAGGTTCTTTGCTATTTTACATTAAGAAACATTATTCTTGAATTGTTGCACCATTTGCTCGTGCAGCCTTTCACAGAGTGGTGAACCCCTCCTTATCTTTACTTCTGAAAGACTCCGCCTCTCTGTAATGCTCTTTTTCTACCCAATGATGTTACTGACCTGTTGCCAGTTAACCATTCAGGTGTTTTTTTTAGTATCACACGACTTCACCAGTCTTTTGTTGCCCCCGTCCCAACTTTTTTGGAACGTGTTGCTGCCGTCAAATTCAAAATGGGCATACAGTTTCCAAAACACAATACAATTTCTGTTTCAACATCTGATATGTTGTCTTTGTACTATTTTCAAATGAATAGAGGGTTTAAATGATTTGCACATCATTGCATTTTGTTTTCATTTACATTTTGCACAGCGTCCTAATTTTTTGGGAAATGAGGATGTATTTTTGTATCATAGTGTTTTAAAAATATCTGAATTAATTTACAATCTGTCATCAAAACTCTCTGCAAGAGTTATACTGGAGTCTATTGGGGTCAGTTCACTCCAGGTTATATACCGTTCACTTACTCATATCTGTCGCCTGCTAGGTGGTGTATCGTCAGAACTGGCGCAGAAGGACCAACGTGGTGGAGACCAACAGGACGTCGGTGGAGCTTCAGGTCCCGTCAGGAGAAGACCTGCTCATTCAGATCAAAGCCTCAAGCGACGGAGGAGATGGCAGCTACAGCAGCCCCATCCGCATACCAAAGATGTCCAGTAAGGCCACACTCATTCTGTGTTGTGTCAACAAACCCAAAAATGCTAATGTTCCTAATGATTGATAGATGCTTGTGATGTACAATTAGTGCACACTCATTCGCTGAGCATTTTTGGTTGAACTAAAACCTTTAAAGTACAGAATGATCTCCTCAAACAGTTAAACACAACATCTTTTAAAAGGATTATACTGTACGCGCTTAAAAATAAAGGTGACAAAAAGGGTTCTTTGGAGAAACGGCACAAAAGAACCACTAAAAATATGTAGTTCTTTAAAGTTAACCTAAAATCGAAATAAAAAAATCCTTTTTTTCACTTTGTTAGTTCATGTTCCCTGTCATTTCAAGCATGATTTATTGTATCTTACCATTTAAGCAATTAAATTATTGTTTTCCAGTAATTTTCTATCAAAATATGAAGACTGTAAAATATGTCCCGTCTCTGAAATGTCTTCAGAATTTTGATATTGTCACCATGCACCAGGGGGCAGAAAAATAATATTAACTAATAGCAATGCTTCACCTTCACCTCCCATATCCCCCACTTGTCATGGAGAGAAAACGCTCAGCTACCTCAGAGACCCTCCCTGATACCATGTTTCACTCACAAATACCTCACAGTATAGAAGGAAAATAAGTTTATGATTTTTGCCATTTCTCGTGCAGTTACACTTCCCACCCATGTAGTCTTGCAGCTACACTAGGTCTCCATATTCATAGTCAGACTTTGACTCTTTCCAATCCAGGACTTTGTAAACACTTGTAGGTATAACTCTGCACTGTTAGAAATAAAGGTTCTGTTCAGGTACATTTTTCGTTCATCAAGATACAAACAATGTAAATGTTCCCTCAAAGGTACAACAGTAACAGTATAATTTCAATGGATTATAGTACAATTATGTTCCCTGACTAAAGGTACTGAGATGTACTCTTGAGGGAACCACCACAGTGACAAGAGGGGGACTGCCCCAGTGACAGTCTAGTACCTTTTTTCTGAGAGTGTAGGTGGCCAATCAGGTACATCAACGGTTCATTAACTACCAATGATTACAAAATCCAGGACTGGAAGCTCTCTTGAAGGTCTAGATTCGAAGACTTCTGTGGTAATAGACACTCTTCTGGTTCCCTAATACCGTGGTTCTCCAACCAGACTCACAACACACAGGGCAAAAAACAAATACAGCAAAAATGTGGACCATCTGGAGTCTCTTAGGACCGGTTTGTGAACCACCACCCTAATAAACCTGTCAATGGATGGTGCAAATGAGATGTGTGAAGGTGAAGAACCTTATTGAAGTTTAAAGAACATCTACATAATGGAGAAGTTCTAGGAAGAACCTGGCCTGAGCAAGAAAACATTTTTATATCAAAAATGCAAATCGAAAGAGTGCAGTTTCTAATTATATCCCACATTTAATTGAATGCCGCAAGCTGTCTTAACAAGTTATACACTGCTGTGTCTGATCCACTTGTACCAGCGCAACACAGTGTTACTGCAGTGCTGAGAATGATCCACCACCCAAATAGTACCTGCTCTGTGAGGGTCCATGGGGGTCCTGACCACTGAAGAACAGGGTAAAAGGGGGCTAACAAAGTATCAGAGAAACAGATGGACTACAGTCTGTAACTGTAGAACTACAAAGTGCACCTATATAGTAAGTGGAGCTGATAAAATGGACAATGAGTGTAGAAACAAGGAGGTGGTCATAATGTTATGGTATGTTGAAATTTAGCCTAATAATGCAGAGATTGTGAACTGCCAGTCTGGAACACTACACTCAGTGTTCAGGCCACAAGTCTGAAAAATGGTTGCTTGGCAAATAATAAAGCTTGGAAGTAAATTTATAGAAAATAATCGCTTTGTCACGCATCCCACGGACCCTGCTCTCGCTAAGGACTCGCTCCCCCAGAATCCTCTGGTGGATCACGTGACTGGCACACCACTCTCTTCTATGGACTCAATCCCCCAGGACTCCCTGGGAGTGTCACTTGACCAACCAATCACTGTTCTTCCTCACCTGAGTATTGATGATTGTCACCTGTGTCTGATTATTATGACCTGTTCAATTTGTATATAAGCCCAGGCTTTCAGCTTCGATCTGTTTGGTGTATTTTTCAATTCTGCCTTTTTGTTGTTGCTCTTTGAACTGAATGCTTGGATTTTCTTTGGTATGTTTTGTTGGATTTTTCTGGTTTTGGCCTTGGCCTGTGTTTCGACTTCATCTCTCTTGATCCCCAGTAAAGCCTATTTTAACCACACGCATCTGACCAGTCTGGTTGCGTTACACACTTTTAAATCACAATCATAATATTGGTCAGAAAAATTTTAATCAATAATTTCTGCAAATCGTTCAGCCTTAGGAAGAACCATAAATTGGTATAGCACCATTGTTTCATTTTTACTTAATGTTTTGCCCTGACCCAAACGGACTGTTGTTTATTCTAAATATACCAAATGTACAGCAGCAAAATAGGCACTGAATACTTAAAAATAATTCTAAATGAAAATAAATTGTTTTAGGTGTTTTTTTAAATTGTTTAGGTGTAAACGGCCTATTTGCTTGAAGTAGACCAGGCATCCTTTCATTTTGTGTAACTGCTGACCCATGGATGTCGTGGGGGGGTCAGACCGCAGACTGTTGCAGTGCACGCTGGGGACTGTATTGCATCTCAGGGTGAAACAGGCTAATAACGGGTTAACATTTAATAGAAACATAATTGTGTGAACCGAACAGGACTGTATCACGGGCCTGACTCGGCCCGCAGGCTTTGTGTTTGACACATGGGTATTTTGTTAAGGTCCTTTAAACCTATAGATTCTAGTCTCTTTTTCAATCATGGTTTTATGAACCTCACTATTTCACAGTGCTATTCATGTAAATAACATGATGTATGTATCTGTTTCGTGTCTTCCAGGCCTGAACTCGAGAGGCTCCTTCAGTTCAGCTGCAAGCGAGATGGTTCGTGTCCATGGAGTAGCGTTTCTCGTGCTGGTGTGGCTGCTTTTGTAGAACTTTTGCCTTCAATAAGCACAGACTGAGAAAACAAAACAAAACAAAAAAAGAAGAAAGAATTCTGCAAGGTTTGGATACTATTTAAGAGGTATATACAGGTTATGGAACTAATTTATTTATATGTAGTACACTCAAGAATGTTGACAGAGATGCATTGCCTTACATTCGTGTTGGTACGTTTTCTTTTTTTTTTTTCTTTGATCAAGTTATGCTTCTTCTGTTTAGATTTTATGCAAAAAGGGCAGGCTTTCCTCATGCCGTTGGTGTTTTGCTTAGGTTTCAGTTTCTAGTTTCAACTTGAGAGAAAACATGAAAATCGCTAGTACTTTGAAGTGTAGTGTATGTTGGCCTGAAAGACGTGTTTAAGAGAATGCTGAATTCTGTGGAGAATTCCCATGACTCTTCATTAGACTCCTGCTGTTTGGCTCCTACACTAGTTTCTCCTATCAGTACAGATGTGTACGCCTGTCTGGAGGAGCATGTCTGAGGTTTACGCAGCACAGTTTCAGTCAATCCCTGAGCTGCTACATAATGTCTGAGAATATCTGTAATGAATAACTGGGCCTTTTTTCTCCTTATCGCACAAATCAGACAATTGTTCGGACTCGGTGACATCATTTGTCACCTCTAAACATCTATCATAATTGACCATTTGCAAAATAATGACTGACTCGCCTCTTATTCCATCCTCTTTCCATCAAACGAAGGAAAGGCTTTGGCAGAACTCCTCACAACAAACCTGCAGTGAGAACGGCAGTGGCAGTAAATTGGGTTACTGAGGGGGTGGCTTCATTCAACGATAACCCCCTTATGATCTGGAGGATGGTGTTGTTTTTATTTCATTCCTGAAGCTGAAAAAGTTTTGGGTTAAACTTTGTGGAAGACCAAACTCACAGCTCAGTGTCAAAACTACTAAGATACAGAACTACACAGGCTATAAGAGAACCTGACCTTTATCTGGGTTACTGTATGTGCTAAAAATCATTTTAATATAATGTTAAACAATAAATAAGGTTATGGAAAAAAAGGTGGAGATCAATTAGCTTTCCTTTACTTATCTGATCGCAGTTAGCTTGATCAATTAAACAGGACCGTGTAGTGTTTTCTTTACCGATTGAAAAGATTCTGTGTAAATATAAATATTAATGCACTCGTACAGATGCCATTCTTTGTATTGTTTATATTAAAGTTTGTTTTAAAGCTGAAATATTGTGTAAAAGATCTCAGCATCTACTATCTGACTATCTCCAGTGTTAGCTTTAGCATAAGCTCATCTGAAGGGGCAGCTTCTGTCACTTAAACCTCCTCCTTATTTAGAAAGCCTGCCCCTTCAGATGAGCTAATGCTGAAGCTAATACTGGAGCTAGTCAGATGTTAGATGCTGAGGTGGGCTCATCATCTTTCACACAAAGTCTTTCAGCAAACATTAATGAAACAATATAAAGAATGTATTAATATTTATTTTTACACAGAATGTTTTTAATCAGTAACATAAACACTGTACAGTCTTGTTCAATCAACCCCCTAATAGCAAGAGGATAGTGGGCCTCTGTTGCCCACTGATGGCAAAGCTGGTTGTCCACTGGCAATTTGCTCAGCATTTTCTAGGCTGCCCACCGGTGATTAAGCAGAGTATTAGACAAAATTCCACTTATCGTGGCTCATTTTCCACTTACAGTCCAATTTACTTATTTTTCCTTCCTTCCTTTCTTTAGATATACTAAATGAATTTAGTAAATCATTTTAATCTAGTACAGTGTCAGCAACAACAATTTCTATAAAATCATTTTATTTTAGGCCTCGTCATTATTTTTGTCTCTCTTTATTTTTGTCTTAGCCTCATATTTCAGAAAATAAACTGTGCATTTAAAATCTGTTTAAGGAGATTAAAAACTAGGTAGAGCTTATATGCATGAATAATCCAGGTAGTCCAAGGGTGGACCAGAAGTGGTCCTATATATGCTCGCTGTCTGGGTCAAGCTAACTGTGAGCAGCTAAGCTAAGGAAAGCTAACTGATTTTTGGGGGCGGTCATGGGCTGGAGGTTAGGGACCCAGCCTTGTGACCGGAAGTTCGTCGGTTCGATCCCCTGAGCTGACAGTACATGACTAAGGTGCCCTTGAGCAAGGCACCTAACCCCCAACTGCTCCCCGGGTGCTGTGGATAGGGCTGCCCACCGCTCCCGACAAGTGTACTCACTGCCCCCTAGTGTGTGTGTTCAGTAGTGTGTATGGGGTGTTTCACTGCACGGATGGGTTAAATGCAGAGGTCTAATTCCTCTGTGTGCAAAACACAGATGGCCAATGGCTCTGAATTGTAATTGTAATTCTGAATTGATCTCAACAATTTTATGTAATGTTATTAATCGTCAGTCATCATAGTAGGAAACCAAAAGAGGTTATTTTATGGAAAAATGTTGCATTAAAGATGACGAGTCCACTTCAGCATCTAATATCTGACAGTATCAGTGTTAGCTTTAGCCGTAGCTCATCTGAAGGGGCAGTTTCTGTTGCTGAAACCTCCTCCTTATTTAGAAAATTAAAGCCAGCTGCTTTAACAACGAGTGGCTAAACAATTTTAAAGTGTAAACTGACCTACAGGCATATATTTGTCCGTTCTCAAACGTGTGTCTGCTTTGAACAACTTGTAAAGCAAAATTATTTTTGAATGAAAATTTTTTTGTTTGTTCGTTTTTTGTTATTTTTAATGTGAGCTTCTAAATTTTCCTTTCTGCTTAACTTTTTAGTCTCTTAGTGTTGCTGATGCTACCAGGCAGCCTAAACTGAGAGTTTCACATACATAGCAACGGTAACTAAGAGAGGCACATTTCACAAACGGTCAATTCCTTCTTCCATCTTGAGTCGGCTCGCGCTGATAATGATCTAAGATACCTCATACGTCTCCTTCTCTGTTTATGTGCCCATGTTTGCCCAGAATTGTGCTGGGTGATGTCTTGGGGTGTGTACTCTTAAAAACAAAGTTGCCACTAAGGGTTCTGATGAAGATTGGAAGGTTTAAAGAACCTTCATATAATGTAAAAGCTCTATACTTAGCTCTAGAAGAAAGAACCTTTAAGAGAACCTTATGAGATGTGGAGGTTCTTAAATTTTAAAAGAACCCTTTTTCCATCTTTATTTTTAAGAATATAGCTAGAAGTGTCCTACATTACATTCCTAAAAAAGTGTGACAAAAGGTTCTTTAAGCGATGCCAAAGAAGAACCTCTTTTAAATCCCTGAAACATCATGTTTGGATACGGCATGAAGAACCTTCACATAATGTTACCAATTTAACATGTAGAACATGTACACCACATAGATGGTAAAAAGGTTCTTCTCACACACTTCTCATTCACAAAAGTAATATGGTTCTCCAGCGATCCTTCCACTGAAAGGTTCTGTAGGAAACCTAAAGTGGTTCTTCTATGGCATTGTACAAAAGCCCCTCTTGGCACCTTAATTTTTAAGGATGTAGATAGATGCTGTTACACAAGGTGTAAACGAAGGGTTCTTTGACCATTGCGATAGAAGAACCGCCTTTGGTTCTCTAAAGAACCATGTTTGTAAATTAGATGTGCAAGTGTGAAGAACTTGTATAACTTTGTATAACCTTCAAAAAATGTCATGGTTCTACACCAGTGTAAATGTACTTCTTAGAACATTTACATAATGTGGACTTTAAAAATGACCAAAAGTGGTTCTTCTATGGCTTCATGCAAAGAACCTTTATTTTTAACAGTGTGAATGGACGTCAAAGGGTTCTTTGACAAAGGGTTCTTTGAGCAGCGCCATAGAATAACCACTTTTAGTTACCCTGAGAACCATGATTGTAAATGAGATGTGTGAGTGTGAAGAACCTTTTAAAGATTTAAAGGACCTCCACTTAATGTCAAAGTACTATACCAATTTAAGGGTTCTTCGAAGAAACTTTACATTATGTGGACTTTAAAAACATCTTTAGAGGACCAAAGGTGGTTCTTCTATGGCATCATGCAAAGAACTTTCAACCTTCTGAACATTGTAGATGGAAGTGTTCTATATATTACACTCGTAAAAAGGGGTGACGAAGGGTTCTTTGAGCAATACCATAGAAGAACCACCTTTGGTTTCTCAAAGAACGATATTTGTAGAGTTTGTGAGTGGGAAGAACCTTTTAAAGATTTAAAGAACCTCCACTTAATGTCAAAGTACTATACCAATTTAAGGGTTCTTCCAAGAAACTTTACATTATTTGGACTTTAAAAACGTTCTTTAGAGGACCAAAAGTGGTTATTCTATGGCATCATGCAAAGAACCTTCATTGTCAAAAGGGGTGACAAAGGGTTCTTTGAACAACGCCATAGAAGAACCACATTTAGCTTCCTAAAGAAATATATTTGTAAATGAAAATATGTGCATTTGGAGAACCTTTTAAAGAACCTCCGCTTAATGTCAAGATTCTATACCAATTTAAGGGTTCTTCCAAGAAACTTCACATTAAGTGAATTTTTAAAGGGGACTTTAAAAATGTTCTTAAGAGCACCAAAAGTGGGTTCCTCAATGGCATCATGCCAAGAACTTTCAACCTTCTTAACAATGTAGATGGATGTGTTCTACATTACACTCGTAAAACGGGGTGACAGAGGGCTCTTTGAGCAGTGCCATAGAAGAACCACCTTTGGTTTTCCTTAAGAACCATATTTGTAGATGAAATGTGTGACTATAAAGAACCTTTTAAAGATTTAAAGAACCTCCACTTAATCTCAAGGTCTTGTACCAATTTAAGGGTTCTTCCAAGAAAATTTACATTATGTGGACTTTAAAAATGTTCTTTAGAGGATCAAAAGTGGTTCTTCTATGGCATCATACCAAGAACTTTCAACCTTCTTAACAATGTAGATGGACGTGTTCTACATCGCACTCGTAAAAAGGGGTGATGAAGGGTTCTTTGAGCAGTGCCATAGAAGAACCACCTTTGGTTTCTCAAAGAACCATATTTGTAGATGAAATGTGAGTGGGAAGAACCTCGTGAAGATTCAACAAACCGCTTAATGTCAAG